GCATCCAACTCCTCTCCCGGAGGAAGATGACTCATATCCTGCCAAGTTTCCTCTAAAAATACGTCCCTGCAGGCAGTTGTCAGATGTTTGTGATGGAAACATGTGAAAGGGTTTTTGCTTGCAACAGCAAAAGAGGCCCATGCTAAAGGAAAGCTGGCGTAGTTCCCGGGACAATGGTGTGTTTCCTATAGTGCCTGTGTCCTCTGAAGCTGGGCCTCATGCCCTTACTGATTCCGGGTCCCTCCCCGTGTGTGGGCTTGGGTCCCCATTCTGCAGCCCTCACAGCCCTTCTATACTCACTTGGGAAAGTGAGTTTGCCCATTTTTTCACTGTGCTTTTCTTGGTGCTTTCTGGAACCCTTATTTCCCCGTATAGTAAAAGAACCACAGGATCCAAGATTGCTAAATTGAGTGTGATGGGAAATCATGCTCCTTCCCAGATCACTGCGTATGTAGTTGAACCCACAACTGTCCTGATGTGTCCTGTTTATATTTCCAGCGCAGCCCTGGAGAAGGGAGCTGCGGTGTGGGTATTAGTGGGAGAGCATCCAACTCCTCTCCCGGAGGAAGATGACTCATATCCTGCCAAGTTTCCTCTAAAAATACGTCCCTGCAGGCAGTTGTCAGATGTTTGTGATGGAAACATGTGAAAGGGTTTTTGCTTGCAACAGCAAAAGAGGCCCATGCTAAAGGAAAGCTGGCGTAGTTCCCGGGACAATGGTGTGTTTCCTATAGTGCCTGTGTCCTCTGAAGCTGGGCCTCATGCCCTTACTGATTCCGGGTCCCTCCCCGTGTGTGGGCTTGGGTCCCCATTCTGCAGCCCTCACAGCCCTTCTATACTCACTTGGGAAAGTGAGTTTGCCCATTTTTTCACTGTGCTTTTCTTGGTGCTTTCTGGAACCCTTATTTCCCCGTGTGTCACCATAGGTTTCATGGCCTGAGAACCCTAGGGAGGTGCTCATTCTGCTCAGCCCCCCTTTCTTCATGAGGGTCATGGCATCCCCACTTTGCCCTTCCCACCCGAGCAGCACCACGTGTGTCACCATAGGTTTCATGGCCTGAGAACCCTAGGGAGGTGCTCATTCTGCTCAGCCCCACTTTCTTCATGAGGGTCATGGCATCCCCACTTTGCCCTTCCCACCCGAGCAGCACCATGGTCCTCATCGCCACCCATGTTTCTTCCCCACACACCTCCCAGTGTATTGAACTCTGGCCCCCCTGGTTCTTGATCCTTTTGCCATGGTTGCCAGGGAACAGGTGGGGTTGGTGTCCAGGCTCTGTGTTGTTTCTATTCCAAAGAGCTGGAGCCAAGATCATGGGATAATTGAGCCTGGAGCAGCAGGAGGAGAGGAAGATAGATGCAGTGATGGGATTGACCTCTACGCCTCCTAAGAGGACTCTTGTGTGCTCCGTGCCCCTTCAGGCTGCAAGTTTTCTCAGATCTAGTTACGCTGTGTTTCTCTTCCTCCAGTGAAATGCCTCAAGAATACCCCAGCCTTCTTTGCTGAGAGACTCAACAAGGCCATGAAGGTGAGTAACTCCATGTGCAGGGGGTCCAGGTCAGGGATGCCTTGTCCCTTCCTGTGACTAAGGGTAGAAGGCATGAGGGAGAGCCACACCTCAGCTAAGAGGTCTGAGGACTCAGGGGTGGGAGGGGACCAGAGGGCCCCAGGGAGGAGGCCTGTTGCTTACACTCTTGAGTGGACTCTGGACTCTTTTTAGGGACTAGGAACAAAGGACCGGACCCTGATCCGCATCATGGTGTCTCGCAGTGAGATCGACCTCCTGGACATCAGATTGGAGTATAAGCGGATGTATGGCAAGTCGTTGTACCACGACATCACGGTATGGGCCCTCTGGGGGCTGACTGGCTGCCTCTTGGCATCTCGATCACCTGTGGACCTCCCTGGCCTCCCGCTCTCCCTCCTTGGAACATCCATGTGTGCCTCTCATACTGTGCATGGAAGTCTTGTTTAGGGACCTCAGACTTGTTCTCTTCAAATGCTACTTGTTCATCCAGTTGCCCCCAATCAGATTGTAAGCTCCTAAGGGCAGGGTGGGTCTTGACCCAGCTGTGACCTCACCCTGCATCCCCCAGCATGCTGCTCAGTGTCTACCCAATGACATCAGAGAAGACTCAGGACCTCCTGCACCTGGGGCCTGACCTTCAGAGTCCTGCCACTCTGTGAGTCTGTCATCCACCAGTGAGAACTCATGTCCTGAAGTAAATAGTCAACACTAGCGACTGTCCTATCACTGTGTGCCAGAGCCGCGCTGACAGCACATGTGCTTGTCTGGGTGGCCTGATAGTTTAATTCTGAACCTTCATGAACCTTGAAATCGAAGTCACAGGACCAGGTCCTGAGTTCAGACTCACTGGCATTTGATGTTGTCGGGCATGTCATCAAGAGAAGCTGATCTCCAATTCCCTGGCTGGAAAATGATGCTGTTGATAGCAGAGAACTAGTAATTAGCTAATTTCTAATCATTTCCTTCTACCCTACACTCATTGAAGGCAAGGCCTGTGTCTTCTTCCAGATGTCACAAGCCTGCTGGCACACAGGGAATCCTCTGCAAATAACTGTTAGTTCTCTACTCTCAGCAGCAGTGAGTGTAGTAGTCTCTGACAGAGTGGAGATCTGTGGGAACTGGGAGGCTTGAATAATAACAGTATCTGCCATTGGATGGTCATATAAGAGGAGATCGTTTCCTGACCTGAGTAGGACACAACATTGCATTATAACCCCAATCTAATGCAACATACATGCACTGAGGAAAGAACAATATTGGTTAGCCCTGGGTGTTAGTTTTTAGGCTGACCTTAAATTTTTTGTGTGGTTATTTTTTAAATTTTGATAATTGGGGTGAGTGCAGCTTTTCGTTTGTTTTTGTTTGTTTTTTCAAAATCTCTTTAATTTTATTAAGATGTATTTTTACAAATTAAGTTTTTATTTTATTTTAGAATTTATTTTATTTTGGCCACAAAACAAGTCTTAATACATTTAAAAAGACTAAGATCATAGAAAATAATAGAAAATATGTTCTCTGACCACAATAACAGAAGGAAATTTAGAAAACTCACAAATGTATGGAAATTAAACAACACTCTCCTAAATAAACAATAGGTAATAAGAAAAATCACAGAGAAATTAGAGAATACTTTGAGAGAAAAATCAAAGTGCAACATATCAAAATTTATAGGATGAAGGGCTCATGCAGTGCTTAGAAGAAAATTTATACTTGTAAATACCTTTGTTAGAAATAAGAAACATCTCAAATTAATAATGTAAACTTCTACCTTAAGAAAATAGAAAATGAAGAGCAAACGAAACCAAAAACAAGTATAAGTAAGAAATAACAGAGATTACAGCAGAAATGTATTAGTCTGTTTTGTGTTACTATAACAGAAATACCTGAGACTGGGTAATTTATAAAGAACAGAGGTTTATTTGGCTTATGATTCTGGAACAGCTGCGTCTGGCACGGGCCTCAGGCTGCTTCTACTCATGGCGGAAAGCGACAGACAGCTGGTGGGTAGAAACAGATCATATGGCAAGAGGAAGCAAGAGAGAGAGAGGGGAGCTGCTGGGGTCCTTTAAACAACCAGCTCTTGTGGGAACTAATACAGTGAGAACTTAACTACCGCTCCTCCCCCAGGGAGAGCATTAATCCATTCATGAGGGATCCGCCCCCATGACTCAAACAGCTTCCAGAGCACTGCCATGTTGGGGATCAAATTTCCACATGAGTTTTGGCGAGGCCAACACATCCAAACTCCATCAAGAAATATATGAAATACGGAATTAAAAAACAATAGAGAAAAACACCAAAACCAAAAGTTGATTCTTTAAAAAGATCAACAAAATTCGCAAACCTTTATCTAGACTGACCAAGGAAAAGAAAAGGAAGACTGAAATTACTAAAATCAGAAATAAAGCAGGGGCATTATAAAATCAGAAATAAACCTGTCATTATGGTTTTCTGTGATGGTTAAGATTTAGTTTCTTTCTTCTGCTTGTTTGCATTTTTGTTCTGCCAGTGGGTTTTGTTCTTTCCTGTGTATTCATGGTGGTGATTATTGTTTTTCAGATTCCAGATGCAGGATTCCCTTGAGGATTTCTTGTAGGGCTGGTTGTGTGGTGGTGAACTCCTGTAGTTTTTGTTTGTCTGGAAGATACACTATTTTCCCCTTGTTTCTGAAGGATAGCCTTGCTGGGTATAATATTCTTGGCTGGCAGTTTTTTTCTTTCAGTATTTTAAATATATCATCCCATTTTCTTCTGGCAAGTTTCTGTTGAGAATTCTGCTGTTAGTCTGATAGGGGTCTGCTGTTAGTCCCTTATAGGTGGCTGGATGCTTTTCTCTTGCTTCTTTTAAGATTGCCTTTCTGTCTTTGAGCTTTGCCAGTTTGACTATAATGTGTCTTGGAGAAGATAATTTTGGGTTGAATCTGTTTGAGGATCTTTGAGTCTCCTGGATCTGAATGTCTGTGTCTCTCCCTATACCTGGGAAGTTTTCTGTTGTTATTTCATTGAATAGGTTTTTCATGCCTTATCCTTTCTACTCCCCTGCTGGAACACTGATTCCAATGTTTGTGTACTTAAGGTTGTCTGCTACATCTCTTAGATTTTCTTCTTTTTTTTTTTTTTTTTTTCCCCTTTTTGTCTTTTTTTGTGACCGGCAACGGGATCGCAACCCTTAGTGTCGCACCCGTACCGCGACCGGCAACGGGATCGCAACCCTCAGTGTCGTGCCCGCACCGTGCTCAGCCAGTGAGTGGACTGGTCTCTATATGGGATCCGAACCCTCGGCAGGAGCGCCGCACTCAACTGAGTGCGCCACTGGGCCGGCCCAGATTTTCTTCATTTTTTAAAATTATTTTTTCCTTTTTTTGGTCTGCCTGGGTTATTAAGAAAAGACTATCTTCAGGATCAGAAATTCTTTCTTCTGCTTGTTGTAGCCTGCTGCTTATGCTGTAGGTTGTGTTTTTATTTCATTGAGTGAATCTTTCAGTTCAGTGAGTTCTGCTACATTCTTTTTTAAGGTTTTAATCTCGTAAATTTCCTCTTTCATATCCTGGATTTTTTTTCTCATTTCATTATATTGTCTAACCGAGTATTCTCATGTCTCAAATGAATTTCCTTAAGATCGTTGCTTGGAATTCCTTTTCCGTTATTTCAGGGGTTTCTGGCTCTATAGGGTCTGGTATATGAGAATTACTGTATACTTTTGGTGGTGTCACATTCTTTTGGATTTTTGTATTTCTAGTATTGCTATGCTGATGTCTGGTCATCTGGTAGAGCAGTTGTTTCTTCTATTATTCTAGAGTGGGCGTTGGAGAGAGAGACATCCTCTTCTTTTTCTGGTCTCCACTGGTGATTCTCCATGTGATGTCACAGTTGAGTGTCGGGCAGGTTGCCTGCCTGGTGGCTGTGGCTACTGCTGTGGCGTCAGGCCACTTTTGCAGCAGCTGTGGCTGTGGTAGGCCACCCAACTCAAAAGTGATGTTTTCAATGTGCTCTTTCGCCTGCTTCTGGGCAGGGGCACGGCCACTCTCGGCTTCTTGCTTAGGACCATGAGCATTACTGTCTTGCTTGCTTCCGAGCACAGAGCAGCTTTTTGTTTTTTAATGGGGTCATGGAGAAGGCTGAACTTCACTGTTCAGCATCTGTGCTTCCTGCTCCAGGACCAGTGGGGTGGGAAGCTTCCCTAGGATGGGGTCTGCCTCTCTCTACAGGTGCACTGGGCAGAAGAAGGCTGAAAGTCACTGGGTCTCCCTTAACCAATGTCTTCCTTGTTTCTGTATCCAGGGAGACACTTCTGGGGATTACCGGAAGATTCTGCTGAAGATCTGTGGGGGCAACGACTGAGCAGTGACTGTGGGCTTACTTCTGCCCACCTGCCAGCAACAGCGATGCCAGGAAAAGGCCAAAAGAATGTCTGTTTCTAACAAATCCACAAAATAGACCCCAAGGTGTACTCTTCTCCGTCTGCCCCTCCCGATCCATGCATTGTGCTGAAGGACCTGGGTGCGTCTAGAACTCCCTCAGGATGCCTTCCCCTTCTCTCACAGCCCCTTGCTGCTAAAGTAGATGTTTTATTTCCTGACTTGTGCAGTCATTCACCGTTGGTTGCAGCTAAGACTCTTGGCTTCTTTTTAGTTGTATAATTTTATATTTTTATTTGGCGGCATGTTTTCTTTTTTTTTTTTTACAGTCATTGCCAGACAGATACATACAAGTCTGTTTGCTACATACACATTTCTGGTGAGAGTGATTGGGTAGGTGGAGCACCATGTCCTCACTGAGGAGAAAAAAGGAGGAACTTTAAGTGTAAACTTTGCATTGAGTGAGAATGTGTCACGAGCTTTGTTATTGCCAAACACTCCTTTCTAGAAAAAAAAAAAAAAAGGACAGAAAGTCATCTGTTCCATCTTCCATGCAAAACCACGAGAACAAAGCCAGTTCCCTGTCAGTGACAGGGCTTCTTGTAATTTGGAATGTGCCTTAAACCTGAATGTCTGTAGCCAAAAGCTGTGTCCAAATTAAAGTCAGCCAGCTCTGGAACATTCTGGAAATGTCTTCCTGGTACCAGTTTGTTTTCTTCTGCTTCATGATTCTGCCCTGTGGCTCAGAGGTTCCAGCCTTCCTACCAGTGAAAATTCACATAACTCTTGAGAAATTTGTGCTCAGGATTCCCTGAGCATAAGCTAATTTATAGGGACTGAGTTATAAGGACATAAGTAGGGAGGCTCCCAAAATCCATGCTGGGGGACTAGACCCTAGAAAGGTGCAGGGATCTTGGTCAGGTGCAGGTGCAGTGAAGTCCACTGAGGGTCAGGTAGGAAGTATGGTCCTTCACCCAGGTCCTGAAGGAGGGGTATGGGTTGGAAGGTGTGTGCATAATTTCTGGGTAGGCCTTTCAGCAGGGGGCCAGAGAGGAGCGTGGTGACAACCCAGAGAGGCATGAAGCCAGCATCTTCCCTCAAGGAGCCTCCAGTCTTAAGGGTTCTCCTGGCTCTGGTCCCTGGAGGGCCCTCTGCTCCTGGGCTGGTAGTGTTAGGAGGGGGGAGTCCAGAAGGAACAAAGTTTCACTGTGTCATGTTCAAAAGCCCAGAGCTTGCCTTGCTGGTCAGGGGTCTCCACTCCCTTTCTGACCTCCTGTGTTGAAAAGTTTAGAAAGGAGAGAATTCGGAGAGACTAGGGTAGGTCAAGCCTGCTGGGCCCTGGCAAGGGCCCTGGGGAGTGGCTTCTCTGTAGAGTAGGTATCTGCTTGGGGGTACTTTCCTGACTCCTCACTGCACCTAACCACAGTGAGCAGAGGGATGACACCCAAGGGGCGTGGAGTAGCCATGATCTGGGCACTCTCCTAGTTTACAACCTATCTTCTTGAACCAAAGATTGGTGCGGGCACTGGGCTTGGTGGCAGGTCCTGGTCAACACGTCAGCTCTGCTTTAGTTTCTATGCCTGGAGCCTCTTTAGCTGCAGCAGTCCTGCCCGAGCTGAGGTCCTACCTATGCTGGTCTCCCAAGAAATCCCTCCCCTAGGTCAGGCCCCTTGCCAGGTGGGGCCTATCTGAGGGGATGGACTGTGTGGCATTATACAATTTGCCATGGACTCAGGTTGACCCTGGTGGCCTGAGCTGTGACTGCCTAGAACCAATATGTTGTGATGTGACTGTGCACATTCTGTGACATTACTTTGCTGTGATGTCTGCACCAGAGGTCTCAGCCTGGTGCCCAGCAGGCAGTATTGAGCCTGTAGATGTATTTATTTTGGTCCCCAAGGAGTTTTTTCAGAAATAAAAATTTGTTGCCACCATAATGGCTATCCACAAAAACCAAAACCAAAAATAAATATGTTGCCAATATTTAAACATTGACAGATTTCATATTTTTAAAAATCTGGGGAGCTGGCTGGTTAGTGGTGCTGATGACACCAGGGTCAAGAGTTTGGATCCCTGTAATGGCTAGCTGCCACCTGCCCTCAGCCCCCACGACCCTGGCTTGGGAGAGCCCAAGGTGCTTCCTGCGGCAGCTCGGTGGTTGTCGCTGGGCTGGTTGCGGGTGTTGTGGGGGCATGGTTGAGTCGCTAGACCCCCGCTGCCCCAGCTCAAGGGAGCCTGAGCACCTCCTGCAGCGGCTCGCCCACCACTCCCTATTGTTCACACCAAGTCCATGTTACCTACTTGACCCCTGCAGGCCTTTGAATTTGAGACCTCTGGTCTGCACACTTGGGGACCACCTGTGTTCATTCTGGATCTGGTTTTCTCTGCCTTCCTGTGCCTCTGGTTGCCCTCTTGGTTATGCCCAAGGGATCCCCCCCATGGTATAAGTATGGGCTGGAGGATTGCATAAATTCCTCATTGAGATCTCCCCAGAGGCAAAGGCACCTACTGTCTTCTTAAGTCTGTGGGAGATTGGGATCAATCCTGTTGGTTACACTCAGGACAGAAATGGGGAGGAAGACGTGACCTTATGGGTCATCTTTTTGGGAGACAGCTACATTGGGTCCTTTCCTGCCTCCTGGAGATGTTAGTCCAGCCCAGTGTGTGCCACACATCTATCACACTTCTAAAATAGCAACTAGAGGGTGAAGCACTAGATGCATTCCCGGAATGAACTTTCAGTAGCTGTGGGGGCATTGAAAAGAAAACTATGTGTTAGGGGCAGGGCTGGCTGGGACTAGGGTGAGGTGCATGAGGCAAAATTGCTAGTCTACTTGTTCATCAGTTGCCCCCAAACATT